GTCTGTGTGTGCTTGCTTCAGTCTCCTCCCCAGTTGTTGGTAGAAGTTGTTGTAGAAGCTTTACACTTCAAGATCAATGCTAGAAGCATGAGAATGACTACAATCCCTACAGAAGAACCACCAACCCTGTAAATCCAGCAAGGGTCAAACCTGATAAAGCTCTGCTCCAAGTAACACAACAAAGTGATGACCATGATCAGTAGCCACAGCAGCAGAGGCAAATATGAAGAAATGTTGATGGGCTGCTCATCAAGCTCTGGCTCAGTCACAGTTCTCCGGTCAATATAGAGAGGTGAGACCACAGCAAGAAGGCCTAAGCCAATCACCACCAGCCTCTCATATGATGAGAACCTCCCACTGCTACTCCTGTGCATAATAGCTCCCTGCTCCATTCTTGAAAACAAAAACAAAAAAAATATAAATAAAAAATAAAACAGTCCTCACTCACTCCTCGGGAGAAAACCAAACTGTTTTTGTTTATTAATTGTAGAAACTTGATTGCACCAGTACTAGATCATCAGATAAATGAAGGCGCTTTGGAATTACTTTAATCTCTTTATTGGGAGGACCTTTTAAGATGCTTCTATGTCTTCTTTCTATTTCTAAATTTACTTTCTTGCTCAATGGAAAAATTAAATAAATGAAGTATTCATCCTAGTAATCTAATCAAAGGACCCCAAAAGCATGATCAATCATTTTTCTTTCTCCTCCTTTTTTTAAAGTGACGAAAATGAAAGGGAAAAGAGAGATTTGTTTGCTTCTACTTAATTTCTGTGTCATCTTATTGTCAAATTGGAATATTCATTTGAAATCAGCTAATTATGCTTCATTTAACAGCTTAGACATCAAGGTCTAGTCCAATCCGAAGAGCTTAATAATATTGGGTAATCATGTTGGCAGTTACCTTCCCTTCACATGGAATCCTTCCAGAAGCCAGAAAAGGTTCCTTTGAAGATTAGGAAGTAGCAGCTTCTTCCTCAAGTCTCGGACATTAGATGGATGGATGGATGGATTTGAATAATTGGAGAGAGAGAGAGCATAATTATTCTCCATAAATTGATGCTGGTTGCACCCTTGTTTTGGAATCTGATGCCAGAAAAATCAAAATGAATTCTCAAAATGCTCAATAATGTGCACCAGTTTCCTCAATCATGTCACCTACCTACCTAATTAAACGATTGTTTAGCCACCGAGAGAGAGAGAGAGAGAGTATTGAAAAATAACCAGACGCAGGCTGGACCTTTCAAAAGGAAGATTTGATTAAGGCACCTAAGAAATCAGCGAGTGAACAAACAATTATAGCATTGACGCACACACACACACACACCAATTATATATTAACATCACAATAAGTTGGTGAGTAACCGACCAAAAAAAACAAAGCAAATAGAGCTAAAAGATAACAGCACAAGCAAACAAACACAATTTACTTTTTCTTATTTATTTATTAGCAAAGTAAAAATTTTAATAAAAATATAAAATTACAGGTACAGGAAGATGCAATACATTGAGAGAGATTCGAAAATTAAAAATTACCCCTACTACTATTACTCACAATCATACAATCAACCCCTCGGTCACACCAATTTTTTCTTTTAAAGAACAACCAAAACAGAACTGAAAATAAAAAAAAATAAAATAAAGGGTTAAGGAGCAGTTAACTACGAAACAACAAAAATTCAACTTGAATCCCCAAAAGCAACCACCCAACCCAAAGCTCCCATGACCAAAAGCAAACACTTTGAATTAAATATTTTTTAACAACCACAACTTTCGTCTCCCACACCTGAAGTCTCGTCTCCCACACCTAAGACCATCTCCAATCCCTTATCAGATTTTATGTTTCATATATAATTAGATGAAAAATTGATACAGATCACTAATTAGTGGTTGCTCTAATGATGTGGTAGTTTCTGTACTTAGCCGTTTCATGTATTTTGTATCTTAGTTTTTTTTTTTTTTTTTTCACTTGCCACATCATTAGTGGTGGTGTTAATGGTAGAAATTTAGGCTTGGTTTGGGGTACACTAAATAATACAAAAAGTCAAAAAGTCACTATCCTATTTAAGTCACATCATTTTATTTAAATCACATTACCTCTCTAACACATCACATCAAACCCAACCCAAACCCAACCCATATAAGCTAATAAGTTAAAAAGTACACTTTTTTAGAGTATCCCAAACTAACCCTTAGTAGTATGTAACATTGTTGTACATAGATATGGGTTTATTTTAGTAATATTGTTAAAAGTTAATTTTTTAATTTTTTTAAATCACATTATCTTTTTATTTTTTTTATATATCTTTTTTAAAAAGTTCAAAAAAAAGACTAAAGTTAGCTTTTAGCTTGTTTCTCAAAATAGGCCATAATATATATATAAACATATAATGGAAGGAACTTGAAATTTTTGAAACTCTCTGGATGTTTAGGAAGTGAGTTTTTTTGTATTTTTTGAATTGTAGGATATTATTGAAGAATTTTTTTTTTGTGTTTAAAAAGATAATTATATTTTTTTGTGGTTAGATGTGATATTTATAAGAAAAAAGTGAAATGATGTTTATAAAATATTTATTAAAAAAATCCAGAAACTAAGTTCCAAACACCCTCTATGTCGTCAGTCGCCCGTTGCCGTTCATCTTCGGTCATCAGTCATCGTTTCCAGTTCCCTCTCTAAATTCAAACTCAATTGGATGTGTGAAATACAGAAAAATACATTAAAAAAAAAAAAAAAAAAGCAAGAAGAGAAAATAAAACTCAAAACAAATCACCTAGCTTGTTTCTACTTTTTAAAAATATTTTTCAAAAAATTTTACTTTTTTATTTTTCGTATTTTTTTTGTTTTTATTGAATTTTTTTAATATTTTAAGCAAATTTTTTACTTTTTAGACACGCCTAATATAAATACACTTAAAAAGTAAAAAAAAATTATAAAAAAAATCTTTTAAAAATTTACTAAATACAAAAAATACAAGAATTCAGTACATTTTTTATATTTTTCTGTATTTATTAATTTTTTAAAATATTTTTTCACAATTTTTTTTTTATTTTTTAGATACATTTAAGTAAGGTACATTTAAAAAGGTAAAAGAAATATTTAAAATTTTAAAAATATTCACTAAAAATAAAAAAATACGAAAATTAAAAAAGTCAATTTAAAAAAAACTTAATCCAAAAAAATCAAACCAAACACACTGAATATTATTTTGAGGACACTAATTGAGCCACTGCAAATGATTTGAACTCCATATAACCCCATATAACCCCATATAACCCAATACAAAAAAAAAAAAAAAAAGAAAGAAAAAAAAAAAAGCTGCATTTTGTCATTTGCTCAAAAACGCCAAGCTTGGCCAAAACGCTTTCCAAAATCTCATTTGGAAAGAACTAAGGTTAGGTTTGGCATAACTTATATAATCTATCTTTTTATCTTTTTATATTTTTTCTATCACATCACCTCTCTACTTTTCTGCACATCTTTTCGTAAAAAGATAAAAAGTGCATTTTTTTAGGACACCCCAAACCAACCCTAAAAAAGAAACACTCAAATTTATCAAATTATTCTTTGAAATATTTTAATTAATTAATTTAAAAATCAAAAAGTAAAGATATTTTGATCATTTTGACGTGATGTGACACTTTTAAAAAATATTAAATAAAAAAAAAGGTCAATTTTTTACTAACTTTCTAAATCATTTCTAAAAAAACTAAAAAACTTGATAAAAAATCAAAAGTTAACTTTTTATCAACTTTTCAAAATACCTCATCTAGTCCTAGATTAATACACTTAGAAAATTCGGAGTGAGTGATTATATAATGGAGATTAATTTATTTAATATGAAATTCATGTATAGAATAAATTTAAACGGAATAATTTTTAAGTTGACGAGGATAGGTTCCTAGTACTATTATTACTGTTTATATACAGTAATTGTAAAAGATCCCAGGGATGTTAGTGCAATTATCTAAAAATATACGTAAAAAGGATAATTTGGTCGCAGAATCTTTTAGACGCAGTCCAAACACAGCCTCCCATCCTCAGAGAGTGAAGCCATGAGCTTGCAATGTTGCTTGGGATTGGGAGGGACGACCTTCCACACCCTCAAACTCGCAGCAATTCCATCATCTTACTCTTCCATTTTCAGACCCCTCTCCAAAACCCTAACCCTAGACCTCCTTCTCCATCCCCACCATTCTCCCCGAAGGCCCTCACTTCCACTTTTCGCCAGAGCTCTCTCAGCCCCAGCCATCCAAACCACAATTCCCGAAGATAAAGGTCATTCAAAACCCTAATTCAGTTTTGGTCATTGGTGGAAGTCAAATTGTATTATTGTTTCAATTTTGTTGTTTTTATTCGTTGTTTGTGTTTTGAATTTGTTGTTGTTGTTGTTGTTGTTGTTGTTTTTGTTATATGGGTTTCAGTTGTGAAACCTCAATGGAAAGCGTCCATAGATTTCAAGTGGATTCGGGACAATAGAGTCGATGTTGCTGCCAACATTAGGAACCGACATTCCAATGCTGACTTGGAACTGGTTCTTCAACTGTATGAGAGATTGTTAAATGTTCAGAAGGTTAGGGTTTTATTACATCTCCATTGTTTTCAGGGGTATTTTAATTGTTGGGCAATCTGTTTTGTTGATTGTTGAGTGTATCATTGTTTGGATTTCTTTTATTGTCAAGGACATTGCAATAAGGACAAAAATATTGAAAATTTGAAATGAAGTGATAACTAAAACCTTGCCAGAAAGTCTTAGTTTTACCATCATATGATAACTTTCGATTGAAACGAGAAACAACTTTTTAGACTCTGCAAAGTTAAGAAAGGCCTCAATTAACCACCGTGGTTTAATGTCAAAATTGTCACTAAATCAATTGGAAGAGCATTGTGATGAAATTAAGCTTTCTTCTTTGTGTGAGTTTGAGAAGACTTGTTGAAGGTGCTTTTCAATGTACTTACATGACGAGTTGTGTGTATTGTGGAGATGTTTTGTTTTCACGTGATATAAGAGTATAGAGAGTTCTATACCAGTTGCATGCTAACCTATGCAAGTCTAAAATTTATCTTGTTAATGAGCCATACTCATAAGAATGTGCAAAAATTTCTTAAATTTGTGCATCAGTGACTGACGCTGTTTTGAGACTTCGAGCCTTACACCTTGTGAGAATTTCTCCTTTTTTAACCCTACAATTGTTTGATGCATTTTCAAGAAGCTTTGGCCTAAGTTGAGTCAGTGAGTCTTGAAATTGTATTTGAGTCCACTACCTCGAGGCCTAGACTAAAAGGGATGGATTTCAGACAAATTTCTGTTGAGGAGTTGTGGTTAGAACACCCTTTCTTGGAGGAGGAGATGATTGGGGCTTTAAAGTCTAAGGTGCTAGGTTTGGTTGGGATGACTGCTCTCTTCCAAACAGTGCTGGGGGTTGTTAGGGAGGACGTCATGGGTGTGTTTTCGTCATTTCATGAGTCATATGATGCTTTGAGAGGAGCTTGAATGCTTCGTTCGTGGCCTTAATTCCTAAGAAATGGGGTGGATATGAGGGATTTTTGGCCTATTAGTCTTATTGGCGAAGTTGCTTGCTTTGAGATTGAAGGAATTTTTTCCAAAGGTGGTCTTGGAGTTCTAGAATGTATTTGTAGGGTAGCCAAATTTTTATATGTGGTGTATCCTTTCCTACTTCAAAGTTCATCTTGATCCCCTTAATGATTTTTGTATACGGGTGGCTCCCTTTAGTGCTTTATTTATTTATTTTTTAATTATTATTTTTTAAATAAATAATTTTTTACTCATCACAAAAAAGAAGATGCACAAAATAAAACTAATGTCTGATCAATGAAAAAAACAGTTTGCTCCTGTGTGTGTGTGTGTGTGTGTGTGTGTGTGTGTGTGGCTGTGGTAGCCTTAAATCATGTCTGAACCTTACAAATGTATGTGGCCTTTTCAGTTTCAAAGAGAAAACCTATTAAAAGAAGTTTTATACCTGGTGATATTCTTTTGTTGAAATCATGTTGGTTTATGGTACAATTTTTGTTTGTTGGTCTAAAACTAGGAAGCACGGATACGGATACGGATATGGATATGAGATACGGGTACGATACGATACGGCTACGGTGATACGGAAAAATGTGAAAAACTAAGATACGGATACGGCTGGGATACGTTCGTAAAAAATATTTTTTTTTATAATTTTTAGTAATATAGTATGTATACAAATAAAACCTAAAGCAAAAGACAA